CTCTCTGTCTGTCTGGCGAGCGCACGCGCCCTACAGTGAAAATCTCTCAAAAAAAAAAAAAAGATCAGGGCCCATAACCTTAGTCTAGGTATTAAGAAATGAAAGTTTGGGAACCAGCAGTTAGTGTAATGGCTATGTCGCTGGACTCCCACGTAGTCGACCGTGGTTCGCGTCCCGGACCCAGTGGCTTAAAACTCACGCTGGGCGTGTGTGCATGCGTGCGTGCCCAAGATCCTGAGAGGAGAATGGAGGAGAAGGGATTGCAGCGTGACCATCCTCCCTGGGGGGTGATTTCTCGCTTTCTGTCTCTATGTCTCTCTCTGCCTGGCAACTGCACGCGCCCTATAGCGAAAATCTCTCAAAAAAAAAAAAAAAAAAAGAAAAGAAAAGAAATGAAAGTTTGTCACTCTCTGTGCAGTGGAATGGCTGGCTCTCAACATCAGCTGGTCTCTGGGAGGGACCTTTGATTTAAAAACCATCTGGAAGGTAAAAAAAAAATTGTTTACTGTCCCCAGAGTGGACATGGACATCCGGACCAAATCCCGTACATAACTATATGGGAAGATCTTATTCTTAACTCCCCTCCCTGGATTGAGCCTTTCTTTCTTTTCTTTTCTTTTTCTTTTTTTTTTTTTTTGTAGAGGTTTTCGCTATAGGGTGTGTGCGCTCGCCAGACACACAGAGACATAGAGACAGAAAGCGAGAAATCACCCCCCAGGGTGGATGGTCACGCCGCAATCCCTTCTCCTTCATTCTCCTCTTGGGATCTTGGGCACGCACGCACATGCGCCTGGCATGAGTTTTAAGCCACCGGGTCTGGGACGCGAACCGCGGTCAACTACGTGGGAGTCCAGCGACATAGCCATTAGGCTAACTGCTGGTTCCCTGATTGAGCCTTTCTTACAGCCACTGATGCCCCCGAAAATCCTTGCAGTCTGAGAAAGAAGACTCCCAGAAGCCTCTGCTCCCCCTGCGTCCAGTATTCCAAGGACAAACTGAAGAGGATATGATCTTCCCTCCTCCCTACCCAGCCCCGGTTCCAGCAGCAGAAGGAGGGGCAGGAGAAAGAGTGGAAGGAGGCATGGGAGAAAGAGTGGAAGGAGGGGCGGAAGAGTGGAAGGAGGGACGAGAAGGGGAGAAGCCCAACTCGCACTGCAGTCCCGCCCAGGAGCTGAGGAGCAAAACAAGGGCCCAGCCACTAGCACTGGCAGGAGGGGGAGAGGGGCAGGCCTTTGCCTCCACAGACCAGACCAGCAAATTCAACTATGTTGCTGCTCAAAGCTGCAGAACCACGTGATGCAGACGGAAACCAGTCTTATCACTATTGGCCTTTTGCCACCAGTGACCTATATAACTGGAGAACCCAAAATGCCCGGTTCTCTGAACATTCTAATGAGCCAATAGCCTTACTAGAAACTGTCCTTTTCACCCACCAGCCGACATGGGACGATTGCCAACAGCTCCTCCAGATTCTGTTCACCACCGAGGAGCGAGAGCGAATCCTATCCAAAGCCCGAGAACTAGTCTCCGATGATAATGGACAGCTCATGGGCAATCCTGATACTATCAACACCAAATTCCCTTCGACCCAGCCAGAATGGGACTTCAACACGGCTCCAGATCTACTGCCAGATTCTGCTAGGAGGTCTCACAGCAGCTGCCAAAAAGCCTACCAATTTGGTTAAGTTAGGAGATGTTCAACAGGAAAGGGAAGGCTCATGGATGCCTTCTGGCAATATACTCCTATGGACCCGGAGGCCCCTGAGGCCAAACTGGCCCTCATTATGGCTTTTGTTAGCCAGGCAGTGCCAGATATTAGACTGAGTTACAGAAACTAGATAGGCTAGGAGAAAAAATATTCAAGATTTAATTACATCGGCTGAAAAGGTTAACAATAATCGGGAAACCCCCAAGGGAAAACAAGCCAAAGCTAATGACCGCCAAACTCGGAATCTAGCAAAAAATCTTATTGGCCTCCACTGCGGGGAAACCAGAAAGAGAAACAAAGGCACCTAAAAGAACTGGCCCAGGAAGGAAACACCAACAGCCCTAATAAAAAAAGGCCACCCCCGCCTCGGGAAAAACCAGTGTGCCTACTGCAAAAAGGAGGGTCATTGGACAAAAGACTGTCCAAAACGGAAGGATGAGCCTCCCTCCAATACTCCTGTCTTGACTCTTGATCATAGTGAATAGAGGGGATGGGGTTCAGTGCCCCTCCCTGAACCCAAGGTAACTCTTAAAGTGGAGGGGACCCCCCATTTACTTCCTAGTGGACACCAGTGCTCAGAACTCAGTGCTTCTACAACCTCTTGGCATATTATCTACCAAAACTACCTGGGTCCAAGGAGCAATGGGAACAAATGAGTATTCCTGGACCACTAAGAGAATGGTGGACCTTGGAGAAGGTAATGTATCCCACTAGTTCATGGTGATTACGGAGTGCCCCTACCCGTTGTTGAACAGAGACTTATTAACAAAACTGGATGCCCAAATTCACTTCGATCCAGGGGGCAGTAAACTCCTCGGTAAGTCTGGACGCTCTATACATGTTCTCACTGTCAGCTTGGAAGATGAGTACCTACTGCACCAGCCCCCATGAGAGGCCTCCCCTTTACTGGGCATGGCACAATGGCTGGCTGAGTTCCCCAGTGCATGGGCGGAAACTGGGGGTATGGGATTAGCCACACATTGGCCACCAGTGTTGGAAGAACTTAAACCAGGGGCAGACCTGGTCCAAGTGCGCCAATATCCCATGTCCCTGGAGGCCTGAACTGGTATCACCCCTCATATTCACTGGCTGCTAGAGCAAGGAATATTAAGACCTTGCCAGTCACCTTGGAACACGCTGCTCCTACCTGTTAAAAAACCTCACTCCAGTGATTACCAACCTGTGCGGGATTTAAGAGAAGTCAATTAGAGAGTAATTGACATTCACCCAATGGTGCCCGACCCGTATACTCTCCTCAGCTCTGTGCCTCCAACTCATCATTGGTACACTGTCCTAGACCTAAAAGATGCCTTCTTCAGCCTTCCCCTAGCACCTAAGAGCCAAGAATTTTTTGCCTTCGAGTGGGTGGACCCCAAGTATGAATTCAGTGGACAGTTAACTTGGAAACGCTTGCCTCAGGGCTTCAAAAATGAGCCTACTATCTTCAATGAAGCCTTACATGAAGATTTGGGTGAATTTCGAGCCGCACATCCTGACATTGCCTTGTTACAGTACGTAGACGACCTGCTGGTAGTAGCCAAAACCCAGAAAGATTGTTTAGAGGGCACTCGTGCTCTGCTTAATGCCCTTAGAAGCCTTGGCTGCAGGGCCTCAGCCAAAATTTGTCAACCAAAGGTAAGCTACCTGGGGTACGAGCTTGAAGGCAGACAACACTGGCTGACTGCCGCCAGAAAGGAAACTGTGCTAAAAATCCCCAGGCCTTCCTTTCTGAAACAGGTGAGAGAATTCCTGGAATCTATGGGCTTTTGCTGGCTATGGATCCCTGGGTTTGCAGAATTGGCTAAGCCCCTCTATGAAGCTACCAAAGAAAGCCTGGGCATGTTCATCTGGACAGAGTGAATGGATGAATCTTTTAATCAAATCAAGACTGCTCTCCTCTTGGCATCAGTCCTTGGCTTGCCTGATATAACTAAACCATTCCACTTGTTTGTGGATGAAAATAAGGGGATTGCAAAGGGAGTCCTAGTACAACCCTTAGGGCCCTGGAAAAGGCCTGTAGCCTATCTGTCAAAAAAATTAGATTCTGTTGCAGCAGGTTGCCCTGTCTCCACATAATTGCAGCCACCGCCCTTATGATCAAGGACACTAACAAATTGACCTTAGGGCAAGAACTTTACATTTCCACCCCTCATGCAATTGAGGGAATTCTTAGATAGCCCCAGACCGATGGCTGAGCAATGCCCACCTTATTCATTATCAGAGTCTCTTACTAAACCCTGCCAAGATCTTTTTTCAGGTACCCACCACCTTAAACCCTGCGACCTTGCTGCTAGACCCAGACCTTGACACTCCCTTCCACAACTGCACAAAAATCCTCGCACAGGTTCATGGAGTTCAACCTGATTTGAGAGATCAGCCCTTGCCAGATGCAGAAATGACCTGGTATAAGGATGGGAGCAGTTTTGTGTCAAAGGGACTGAGGTATGCGGGGGCAGTGGTGGTGTCAGAGCGGGAAATTTTAT